TCCTGTGGACCGCCCGCCCAGCTGACCTTGGCCGGGTCACGTGGTGGTCCCCCGCCCCGCTGAGCCGACCGCTGGCTGACCCGCCCGGCCCCGAATGACGTCACGCGGCCCCCGGCGATAGCGCCAGCCGGCCGGCCGCCCGGCCCGGCCGCCGCGCGGATCTCAAACACGGCACGAGAGAGTTCGGCTACCTCGTCCCAGATATGATCAACCGCTCCCTTCTCTGTCGCAGACCCCTGCACAATTTGACTGACTTCAGCCGGCGAACGATGGACAGCCTCCTCAATTTGTTTTGCATGTATCGGCATCTTATCAACGTCAATGCTGGGATACAACAGACGTAACTGTGCCGCAACCTCTGACGAGATGCCATCCAAGAAACGACTCCTCAAGAGAGCGGCTCCAACAGACGTGTCAGGCCCCGAGCCAGGAAACGCACCATGAAACAAAGAGAGTAAATCGGAAAGAAACATGTCGTATGTCTCGGAGGGCTGCTTACGTCGCTGACTGAGCTGGTCCTGATACCAGCTCTGGGACGGACCGAACTCCCGACGAAGCGCCGACTTCAGGCTCCGAACATCTCTTGTGTCCTTTTCTGACAGCGCATCCATCACCGTAATCCGCGAACCGAGGCCATGAAGCGCCTTCCCACCGCTTTCTTCTCGTCCCCCACCGCCAGCCGACGGGCATCCAACCGTCGCAAGAAGTCTTTCAGCTCTTCCCCATCCCCCCACGCCAACTTCTCCCCCGACCCCATTTGGTACGCCCCCACTCGCTGCCACCAGTGCGATATTCGCGCGCTCTCACCGGTATCAGTCGACAGGCGTCCCGGTGACCGCCGACCGCGGCGGCAGGTCGGCTGCCGCCTCCGGCGGTCGGCCGCAGAGGCGCGCCCACGCGCGCGCATTAGTAACGCAATACACCACAATGACGTCTTCTCTTTGTGAACAGAAATCAAACGTCAGCATTTATCCGGGCCGTGCTACTTAGTACTATGGATGGAGCGTTGCTCCGACTATGGTGCTCATCCGCTCTGTGAGAATGCACGCAGCGAGTCAGGCGGCTAACCACCCGACAGTCATCGGGGGATACGAAGTCCTGAGAAGGACCGGCTTTCCACCCACACATGAAGCCTGGACTGCTGTGCGGAACAGGTTGGAGAACGACGGCATGCCATTGGAAAGGAGAGGCATCCCAACCAGCACCGAGTGGAGCTACTCACGCTCTGCGTGACCGAAACCACCTTCCAGCTAAACGATCAATACTGCCGGCAACCCGAGGGAACGGCCATGGGATCATATCTGCCACCGGTGAATGCCAACGTCTACATGGAGCCTCTCGACGACATGACCATGGAACTGCACTGCTCAAATCATCAGTGTCACTGTCATACGTCAGCAACGCATTCGTCCTCCGGCAACAGACAATTTCAGGCTGTCAATCAGAGGCGTACAAGTCAGGAGAGCTGACGGCGGGCCCAAGGCACCGGCGCGCCAGCGGCAGCCTATCGCTGCTCAGGTCATGTCACCCGGACACTGCCGAGAAAGCTATCGTGATATGCTTTCAACATTATCCTAATTCCGTCACTGTTGTTGATGGTGCTACAATACAAATATACAAAATAAAGTAGTGTAGGAAATGAGCTGTAGATAACTTTGAGAACTAAGAACTAATGCAGCTACGGGGAAATATAACTGAGCCACCGAACCGAGACATTTCAAAGGAAAGAACATCATGAGGCTGCTTAGACCAGGAACTCAAAGAGCATGTTGAACACGCAAGGTAGCCAAACGGAAGAGGAATGGCAGCTGCAGCATTGCTTTATAGCAGGGGCCTGTCGCAGACATTGAGGACGATGCAACAATAAGACAGAAAAAGCAACTCAGCCGAAAAAAACAAGCACAGGTAAAGAACAGTCCAACGCGCCAGGGAAAGCTTACCAAAGTCAGGCCACCGACGTCCAAGGAACATCAGAAGAACGGCACTTATTGCGTAACATTCAGTTGTGACAGATTCTGCGACGGAAAAACAAGTCGCTCTCTGTCGCCCATATTGAAAGAACAAGGAAAGACCATCACCTGGGTTGATATTTCGAGATCCAGCGTGCCAGGGCATGCACGGATGGAAGGCTATCACCAAGCAGCAGCAGGGGAGACAGCTTTCATAGCCAACGGGCAGTAATGGACAGCTAAAAAGAACAGCCAGCCAGTCCACATGACTTTGGCTGACACACCCATACGTAAGCCCTACGCAAACGTCGGGTCATTGTGGCTACCCATTCTGCGAAAAATACTCATGTGTAAAAGAAGTGAACAACACAAAGTTTTAACTCTTTCCGGTTAGCTCTCAGCGATAAGACGCTCAACTCGTGACCGGAAGGGTCTGGTCCGAGCAGATCTGGTCTGGTCCGAGCCCCAGCAATCCCAGGTCGAAAATCGGGGTGTTGCGCGTACGTGGCTGAGACCTGAACCCTTCAGTCCTTCCAGAACTCAAGAACACTTGACGAGAGCTGACCGAAGCTTTATTATTAAATTAAATTCGCCGGCCGAAGTGACTTGCGCATGGCAATACCTCAGACGAGAACGGTAGTCCGGACAGGTGTCCACCTGTAATGCCTGCACCTGGTCTTAATCACCCCGGAAAAGCTAGCCAGCTCGTTGCATCCCAGGAGCACGCTGATCATGGATTTGTGTCATGACATCAACAGGCGGTTGATGTCACGTGTTGTTGATGATGTTGATGCAAACCAGGGATCATCACGTGCCGGCGGCGCTGCGGCGTTTGTTTGGGATTTTCCACGTCCTGTGGGTGGGAGGGCGGGGGGCTGTTGACGCTCCCGGCGTCGCCTCTCGAGACCGGATGCCTCGTGGGCTGGCATGTCTGTCTCCGATCACAGCTGGTTTGGCCGGTGCATGACGGGGATTCCCTGCCGACGCAATGGCATGGGCAGCATGGAGCTGCGGGTGGGCTTTTTCACTCAAATCAATCGGTGCACGAGCAATGGTGTTCAGAGGACCGCGCCTCTGACGTCATGAAGCTGTAATAACAAGTGAGACACGTGTAGGCCACCAAATAGGTCAAATCAGTTATAGCTTACAGGAACCAAAAATGAGACCCGTGCAGTAGAGCTTTTGTGTGTGTGTGAGGGTGGGGTGGGGGGGGGGGGGGAATGAGGGCACAGGAGCACATTCCAGCCCCCCTTTGAAGACCGATTATTAAAGGTCTATTTTCAGTGGCCTCTCCATCCCCATTTCAACCGGAGGTGCGTTAAGCCGAGCTGGAATCTCTGTGCTAATGATTTATTACATTTTTTTCTCACACAAATCAAACTGGCAGCCACACAGTTAACGTGGGGCTGACAGTTTATTACACTAGAACAATGAGGATTAGTTACTTTCCTCCAGGGTCAGAAAGGAAAATCCACACACACACACATACACACACACACACACACACACACACACACACACACACACACACACACACACACACACACACACACACACACACACACACACACACACACATATATATATATATATATATATATATATATATATATATATATATATATATATATATATATATATATATATATTGGAATGACGTTGATATAACTTGCCAGATATTTTGCTCAAAACCGGTAAGCGACCCTTGTTTCGCGAATAAAATCGAAATCCAAGAGGTTTGCCGGAAACCTCTTTTTTTCTGCATCACTCTTAAGTGCATCGGTATTGTTTTATTTCCCTATGTCTGTGGCAACTCCAGGCCGTCCAGGGTCCATCTGCCTCGAACTTTGATATTCGTGACCAGACTTGACCGTTTGAAGGTCATGCAATGCTAACCTCTTTGTAACCTACATTACGGCATGAGAAACACGTTATATAGGTTTCTCCCTATTGAACAGCTATATATATTTACATATATATATATATATATATATATATATATATATATATATTAGGTATATAGCTTCGTCCCTTTAACCTGGACATAATGCACAGGTCACATGCGTCGATGTTCTCTGGGGTATCACATCTGACAGTTTTCCAAAAGCCTTTAACGCCGCTTCCGTTTTGTCGTAGCGTGCTTAGCTCTTAATACAACATGAAGGGTGTAAAAGTATGAGCTGATCCCTCTCCTAGCTTCACCTACCATTGTTTTAAATGCCGAATGTTAAAGGATTACACTCACCATAGCATGAGCGCGCCTATCTGATGCCGTGTGGATGAGACTTCCAAAGCTGTTTCACATGTGGCTCCATCTCGCTTACTTTTCAAATTCCCAGGAGGGCTCCATGAAACCCCCACATAGCAAGAAGGTTGAAACACATGCAACCAAAATTCCTAAATTTCCTGATTCACAGAAACCTTGTGTGCTGAACCAATATACTAAAAAACCTCGCTGGCTCAGGGTAACCAAATGTGTCAGGTCAGGAAGCTGTTACCATAAACAACCGTAGTAGGTGGGGGAGTCCCAAGATGATCTCACCAGACGAAAGGCCAGTTAGCAGAATGGGATCCTGAGATTCAATTTCTGGGCCTTGGATCATAGAGCTCCCAAAATCCACGATCCATTTGGTAATTTAGTTAAAGGATCGTCTAAGAACCGAGACCCAATCCGAATACTGCCGAAGTGTCATCCAGGACTTGGGATCTCTTCTGAAATTTTGACTGTCGACCCTTTTAAGATTTAGGAGCTTTCGCCTAGTTTTGCTGAGTAATCTCACAAGATGTACGATTATATTTGGTGTATGCGCAAGTATCCGCTCCTAAGCCTGCAGCTTGCAGCGCCACACACTGCGGGGTTTTGCCTGTTATCATTGTTGAGGGCTAAGACCGAGTTGCTCTTGCTCTTGAGACCTTCCTGAGACGCCGCTCGCCGTCCTGGCACCGCTGCCCTCGCCTCTGTTCGCCATGAGATACACGGCTGCACGAGGCGTCACGTGACTCGCTGCAGGCCGCCGGCTTCAATAATCGTGTCAACAACGCGTCTGAGTCCGCTTGCCTGGCCCGGGGCGTTTTCTCACTCACCCTCACAGCGTCAAGCAGACCGGACGACCGGGCAGAGCTGTCCAGTGAATGCTGCACACCAGCCGACTCGCAAGAATGCTGCTCTTCTACGCCCTCGTCTGCGTTGTCACGCTCGGTAAGACGGAATCCATGACTTCAAACGAATGGTTCGTTTGACTTTGGCGACTAGCTTGCAGCAGTCATTCTTTCATGCGCTCATGTCCTTCTGCTCCTACTCCCACCGTTCTCTCCCTCTTGAATTTCGCTTTTGTCATGACACTCACTCCTTTTCGTTATTTATGCCTGTTTCCCCTTCGCCACTCTTTTTGCTTGGCATTTATACTGTTGTACCGCTAGGCTTGGTGTTGGCTGGGTGATAGAGTTTACGGACAGTGAATTTTTTCGATCTACGAAGGGCTGTGAACTAACCCGACTTCCTTGGTCTATATAATACGTGCCTTATCTCGGAGCAGAACCAATGACGCACCGCTAGATTTCCATGCCGCAGCCTGTCACATTCCGCGATCTGGTGCGTAGGCGCTGGACTGGAAGACCGGAGAGGCCTGGTACGAGTCCAGGGGAAGATGTATGTTTGGATCGGCTCAAGACCAAAGGTTTGGTGGCATATGACCAAAACGGTTTAACGAGGACCAGGGCGACCGTGTCGAGTTGCTGTACGAATTTGAAACACTCGTCGTTGTATCGCAAGAAAATGGATAAGTTTACGCTGGATGGTCGGTTCACGACAGGTGGCACAAGCTCCTCTCAACACTTCTGTGACCACGAGACCCAAGCATGCCGAGCATTGGAACTAAACCGCTAAAAAATCTGGAAGGGGGGTCCAGGCGGGATCTTTTCCGAAGGCAAAGAAACGGCAAAACTGCATGGAACAGTAGCGCAAGATGGTGTTTACATCATTAAGCGATCGCGTTCCTGATCCGGCAGTGTACTTAAAGTCGGGCTGCTGCACTGCCAGGTGTCTCTGGGTCTTGTCATAGGTCGAAAACTATCTTCGAAGGCGGAAAAAAATAACTTCCGCTCCACAGCTGTCAGCTAGTCCGAGACGACCTTGAGACGACCTCGGATGGTGACCTGACGTGGCTTTGTATGAGGTGATTGAACCTGATCGGCGGAGACGGAACAGTCGATAACTACACCACAGCAGTCCAGAACAAGAAATATATCAATGGATTGCTGCATGTGAAGGCTGCACACGTTGCGCAACAAAACGATCCATTAAAAATCAGCCTGATAATTACTGTCATCTCTCACGACACTAAAAATCAAATTGACAATTAGTCTCGGTAAACCAATCAAAAATGCGCTCACAGAAGCGCCAGTCATGCTGTAAGCCCCTCGCCTGACATTGCCGGCTACGACCAACGTTAAGTAGTTGTCATATTTCAACTGCCTGATCAAATATGGTACTGAAATTAATTGTATATTGCGCCAGTTACATCTGTTCACCAACCATGAAACAAGTTCATGGCTGTCTCTGTCATAGGGCTGCCGTCACTCAGGTCCAGGTCGAGCAGCTGTGGCCAAGAAAATGCGTGTATATATATATATATATATATATATATATATATATATATATATATATATATATATATATATATATATATATATATATATTGTTTGTTTTTATTCATGCAGGGTTTTTATGTCATCGAAAGCAAATGCACATTTTATCAGTCTTGTTGCTTGTTTGCTCGATTGCTTGAGTCAAATCCTTCGTTGCTTTCGGTGAGTCGTAAATTAGTTCGCCACTAATCATTTATGTTGGTCTAAGCTAGGTTAAGTTTCAAGGAAATTTGTTTCCCATTTTCAAACCAATGCGGGGCAGTCGGACGCAGAACATTTGAATAAAACGAAATGCGAAACATGTTTAACGAGAAAGGGTGTCAAAGTGCATATGTGTAAAGTGCATATGTGTAAAAAAATTATTAGAAGTGTATCATCAGCTAACAGAAGCATACGAACATCGGGTCCAAATACAAAAACACGCATCCACACGCACGCACGCACGCACGCACGCACGTACGCATGCACGCACGCATGCACGCACGCACGCCTGCATTCACGCGCACACACACACACACACATACACACACACACACACACACACACACACACACACACACACACACACACACCACACACACACACACACACACACACACACTTTTCCAGCCAGTTTGACTCCATGACCATCTCCAAGCATCGGCCACTCCGTTGTCATGGAGGGACAGAGCAGATCCAGAACCATGCATGACAAGCTGTTTGTTTACGTCAGGCATTCTTTCTCCGACGATGATGGCCTCCAAAACTTGTAAACACGTTTGTTTGGACAGGATTTCATAATCCGTGTGCTTCCAGATCGGTCAGAGCGTAGGAGTTTTTTGTGGGCTTGGCGCATTTGCTGGTCTGGCGCTCCTCCTCGCAGCCATGGGGAGTGATAGAGATGTCCCCTGTTATTCTAATATAGGAGCCCGTAGTCTCCGTGCGGACATTTTAATTCAAACACTATAGTGGTGGGCTTTACCTGGTCTTGGCCCGCTGCCAGGCTGTGTTTCATTGCGAGACAACTAGATGCCTGCTTTTGCAATAGCTGGTGAATCGCATTTTGACTCGTTTGTCTGTCAGCGTGATGATTGTCCTGCTGATGTTCTGCAGAGCTTCTCCATACACCTTGCATAGTGGGGAAACTTGAATTCTATAAAAAAAATTCATGAGCTGCTTTTTCGTCGCTTGCTTTCAGGTCTTCGCCACTTAGGGCGGACCCAATCTCTTGGCCAATAGTCTGCTCGAATGGCCACTGTTAACGCACTTCAGACTAAAATGCTACCCACTGTGCTCTGGACTCGTGCCCAGCATCCCCGGCCTTCCAGTCCAGCACCCACCCGTCAGATGACGGGTCGTGGCATGCCACAGCATCAAATGCTACCAGGGCTACCAGTGTACACAGCATCAAATGCTACCAGGGCTACCAGTATATGCATGCAGACTAAGCAAGTCGAGGCGGTTCACAGCCATTCACAGATCGAAGCCATGTCGGTTCCCTAAACTATAGTCTAAGTTAGATAATCCCGTCAGGATGTAGCCAGCCAGCAATGTCCGCCTCGTTTGTTACCATGATTTAGTCATTAATATCGCGTTGTTTGTTACCATAATTTAGTCAATATCCGTCAGCGAGCGTCCGCAGCAACATTCTTTGTTCGGCTGCGCTGGGAGCTGTTTGTGAAGTATCTGCCGTCTTGGACGCGGACAGTGGCGAGTAATTTTTTTCAATCGACATTAAAATCCACGAGGCGTGATCCAGCCGTCCCTAGTTTTTCTGACCGACGTGTTCTTCAAGCATCACCACACACTGCATTTCTCTCGCCCCGCCAAGGCTGAGAACTCATGCGGAATGAAACACTTATAAAAAAACATTGAACAATGAGCTGCTGGTCCCAAAAGAGTTTTTACAAGTGTATGCACGCTTGCTTCACTGTGCTGAGTGAAAGAACGTGGAAGTCTGGATTATCTATATTTTGCAGTTTGACTCATTGCTCCAACTGCTCTGGTTGCCGAGATCTGGTACAAAACGTGAAAAAAGCGGTCGGAAATTGCCAAATTCATTTTGCTCGCTCGCGCATGCGTGACACGCAGCACGTGATGCATTACATATTATGCCACATAATTGCTTGTTCGATTCCCTATCACTGCAAGCCACTCCCCAGTGGCTCCGTCTCCAAATAATACGATGCGTCACAAAACTTTTAAGCCTGTTAAAAAGATAAATTCCCATCCTTCCGAAGCGTATGGGTGTGACACGTAACCCCGTGCGCACGAACACGTGTGGGAACACACGACTGGTCGTTTAAATCCTTATTCGGACATGCCAGTCCCGTGTGGCTAAATGTTCTGAGTGCGGAAATGTGGCACAAAACGTAAACAACCGACGAAATCAGCAAAGTGGATCTTCACAGCTAGTGTGCATGTGACCCATGGCACGTGCGACATCACATCTTACACCAAGTGACTACCCGTCAGATTCTACATCGAGGCATGCTACTCTCGTGCCGCTCCGTGTCCTCGGGGCCGAGGTATCGCAAAAACGTTCAAACCCATCGAAAAGAGCAAAATCAATGTTTCCGCACGTATGGGCCATCGCACGTGACACGTGTGACCGATGACCGTTATATTGCCTGTTTCATTCCTTACCAAAGCATACCATTCCCGTGTTGCTCTTAGCCGTGGGTGCCAAAAATGTGGCAAAAAAAAAAACGTGAGCGGCGTCAAGACAGCAAAAATCACCTTGTCAGTTCGTGTGATCGCAACACGTGACCCGTCTGGCCAAAGGCTTGGTGCCAGCCAATCGCCCGTCCACTTCACTTTTCACGCATGGCACACGTCAATCGCTTTATAACCGAAGTGCCCAGGTGTGGTGCAAACGTAAAAATAGGCGTAAGCTTAAAAATCCATCTTGACAGCACGTGTGCGCGTGGCACGTGGTGCATGCGACCGAACCATTTGGAAGGGCACACTTGTACATTTTATACCTCATCGAAGCGTGCTACTTTCGGGTCGCGTCGTGTCCTGGGTGCCGCGATGTAAACCCGTCAAAAATAGCCGAATCCATATTTCAACACGTGGGCGCCATGACACGTGACACTTGTGACCAATCATTGCCATCTTCCTCATCCATTCCTGACCGAAGTGTGTCACTCTCGAGTGTGTCCGTATCCTGGGTGCCGAGCTGTGGCACAGCACGTGTGAACCCGTAGAAAAGGGACCATTTCGCATTGCACATCTTTTCGTGCCACTCCCGGGTCGCTCCAACCCACCGTTGTCGATAAATCGGTGCGAGAGATCATTGCTCGAGGTGTTTACATATGACGTAAATCACATCTATATCATGCGGTTTTACACCGCTTTTGAACTGCTTTTTAGTAGTTATATAAGAAATCAAGTTTCCTTATCTGCAATGAAAAGACAGATCCGCTTTTATGCGCGACACTCGTTCTTAAAACGTGTTAAGTTCTAGAATACCGCTAGGCTTTTCATGAGCCGCACCAGTAAAGATTAACAAAATATAAAATATTATCAAATATTCTCACACCGAAACCAACTCACAACCACAAAAACGCTATAACGGGCACTCAACTCAGCTGATTCTTTCGCCGCAGATGGTGAATTAGTTTTGTCATGTAGCGGGCACGTGCCTCGTATTTTGGATGGCCGCTGACAGCTGCGAATGATTTCATAGTATTGTGGCTGGGACTAGTTACCCTTCCCGTGTACGTCCCGGTTCGCGTCATCTTAAGCTGTCCTGTGGGTCGGATGCTGCAGTTATTCTGAGCGGTTCTGAACCCTCTTAATCCTCCTTGTTTAACCCACGTCTGCATCATACCTCGATTATTTCCTGTCACCGCTGTAATGACTGTGAACAAGGAACTCCGTTCCTGCTGGGGATCGATGCAAAGAAAGAAGTTGACGTAGTCGCTATACACGTGGAACTGCATTTCCCAAAACGCTAGCACCGGATATCTTGATGAGAGAGCCGGAACAAGCTCCCCCTGCAGTAAGTTCCCCGTTTGTTGCAGGGCGTGTGGTGACGGGAGCCTGTGACCGCTCTCGGAGGTACCTCGTCAGCGTCAACAGCAGCCAGGTGCACGTGTGGCCCGGGGAAGAGGTGGACCTCTACTGCCGTCTGGCGACAGACAGCGGGTGCCGTTGGCTGAAGGGCGACCAAGTCCTGGGCGAAGCCTGCCAGCTGTCCACGTCTGAGAGAGGTCTCATTAAATGCGTGCAGGGAGAGGAAGTCGTGGGATCAGTCCATCTGAGAGAACCAAAGCCATCGGATGTCGTACGGGCTCATCCCGGCAATGACACTTCTCGAGAGGAAGGACATGATTTGTCGTACCAGAATGGCTCGACGGAAAGCACATCCCTGAAAACGCAGAAAACAAGCTTTCTGTGCTCGGACACCGGAAAAATCATTGAAAAAACCCGACTTTGTGACGGAATTATGCACTGCAGCAACGGAGAGGACGAGCAAGAATGTGAGCCACCATGCGGCGCACCAAGCGTCAGGGAACACAGTACCCTGTCTACACCAGAAACGAAGGTTTACAAAGACGGCGCCGAGGTCAAATATGCCTGCGAAAGCGGATTCGGCTTCCGAAACTCCCTCAACTGGTTCCGCAGAACTTGTCAAAGGGGGCGGTGGAGCGATGAGTCTCCCAGTTGCCACGAGAACGTCGCCTTAAACCAGCCGGTGGTCGTCGAAGGCCACGTCATCGGCGGACGTTGCCTGCAGGTAGTCAACGACGGCATATCCGACAACTGGTGCATGCTGATGCCCACCACACAGCCGCAGTCTATCGCTGTGCAGCTCGCCGCCAACGTGTCCGTGAGCCAGGTGCTGGTCAGGTTTTTCAACGAACGGCACGAGGTGTCGCTGAGGGATATGAACCGAATCAGGGCCTCGGTACAGTGTCAGTGCGCCAACAGCTCCGTCGCCGCGTCCAACCCGAGTCTGTCTGGGCTGGCCGTGTGCTCTTGTCCGGTCGGCAGTCTCACCGGCCCGGTGGAGATTGTCGTCAGCAAGGAACTTTCGACGTTCAAGTCCCTGTCCGTCGCCGAGATCGCCGCGTTCAAGGCGAGCGCGCCGGACGAGGCCGGCGGAGGCGACAGCTGTGCACTGCTGGACCAGCCGGCATACGGCGAGTACGAGCCGGCGGGTGACGGCAGCGTGCGCCTGGTCTGCCAGCCCGGCTACAGCGCCAACTGCACTGACGTCACGCCGTGTCGAGACGTCGCCAGCGGCGCCGTCCGGCTCAGCTGCCGGCCGCTGACCTGCCCGCCGCCGCCGGCCATCCCGCACGCCGTCGTGCAGGCGGAGAACGGCACGGCGTGGATGGCCGTGACCGAGTACGCCTGCGCCGCCGGCTACCAGCTGTACCCGCCCGAGCAGCGGACGACGGCCGTCTGCGAGGACGGCCTCTGGTCGCTCAGCCATGTTGTTTGCTTGCCCGAGACGGACATCCGCGTGGTGGCGCTGCGCATGAGCCAGCAGCACGAGCGCAGCGTGAGCGCGCTGCGCCGCGAGCTGGAGGCGCTTCTCTCAGAGCAGCAACAACAGCTGGTCAAGCAGCTGAACCAGACGCAGGATCGGCTGAAAAACATCCAGGAGCAGTTTGACGAGACCGATCGGCAGTTGGATAGACTCCAGAGTAAGGTGGATAGGATGCAGTCCAAGGTTGACTCTAACTCACGGAGATACTACGGCTGACACCGTGGTTGACGAGATTTATCAGGGTCTGCGAAGGCTTGATGAGAGAAAATCGGCGAAACGCAGTTTGATACAACAATCTTGGCTGCTGCGGATCTTAGCGAGAAGTGCATTATATGCATAGAGAATATCATCGGTTACTTCTCCCCAAAACGCTTGCTTATAACTCCTAATTGCTTATAATTTTATAACCGGCCATTAGCAAGTTAATTGCTTATAACTTGCTAATGGCCGGTTGAATACCACGTGGACGAGTCGAGGGACATTTTGCCATCATTATAAATCGAAAACCAATAGACCTTGAAACCCCAAAGTCACAGAATTGACGGGACTCTACGTGACCTTGTTTGACATTGTGATATCTCTAGGTTGTAACGTTCGGGTCAGCTAGGATTAAACCAGGTCGACATTGAGATCATTGCCGGAAGTGCGCTTAACCTGCTCACACAACCAGCTCAAAACTGAATACATGTTCCGAGCAAAAGGCCAGCCCGACTTGTCTCAGGTCAGTGACCTTACATTGCCCTGAGGCGGAAAAATTCCACTAAGTCTTTCTCGCTCATTTTGGTGTTTAAATTTGAAACCAGCGTCCATTGCTACCTTAGGTGTTAAGTTCTACGATGCAAAATGCTGATAAGGTCAGTTTTGGACGGTGACCCAGCGTGACGTCCCCACATGTAATAAATTTGTAACGTGTTAGCGTTGAAGGAATCGAAAATGTGTGTAAAAACGAACGAACGAAATCTTTTTAAAAAATACGATTTGTGATTAACCTTGACCCGACCCTCATAAGCGAGCAATGTCAACGCAATTGGAGGCCTTGCTACCTCAATTGTTTTATTGTCTAAGAAAGCTTCTCAACGCTGTAAAAAGCCAAGACGTCAAAGCTGGTGTCATGTAAACAGCTCCGTTAGTGCATCCGCTGGAAATATCTAATAGAATTGCCTTTGCTGACAGCTGCGGCCCGAGTTGTGCCCTCTACAGGTCAGTGACATTGAACAATAAATCCTGCTATTCACACTACAAGACCGTCTATTCAATTGTCTGCAGCCATGTAAACCGCGTCACCGTCACGCCGCTGGGGAGAAGGCCATGTAAACCGTGTCACCGTCACGCCGTTGGGGAAAAGTACCAGAGGAGGGGGATCAAACTGACCCTATGGCCAGGTACGTGTTATAGCTCAACAGCTGCTTCATTATGATATGGTTAGTTCAAGGAATCACACCAGCCAAGAACAGAGCTTTAAATTAGACGCTGGACTATTAGACTCGCTGGCTATGTTTACCCAGCAGTTTTAAGCCTTTGGAGGCTCTCCAGCATGATAGAAGATGTTGTAAAAAGAATGGAGGCGATCGAGCGCAGATCAAGGATTGTTTTTTTAACATTCAGCTCAAGTCAAGAGCGACATGAGGCTTTCGGGCCAAGGTCATCTGAGGCCTGTAAGATCCGTCCTCGTTCAAGCGCGTTTTCGAACGCGTGCGAACTCACCATCGCTTCAGCGTTATTTGATTGTTTGCCACTTTCCTCCGGGAGACAACACTCTCAGGTCGACAGTCTCTCCAAATTTTCCATTTCACTCCGTTACGGCCGTCCCTTCACTCCGTTACAACCGGGCGCCGTAACAGAGTGAAGGGACTGATCACCCTCGCGCGACGTTCTCACCTGTGCAGCTGTCTGCTGACAGGGTGGCGAGATTTCTGGAGACCCCTCAAGCAGTTCAAACCGCAACCGGTGAATGGGCGTGACATACCCGATTATGATATGGGCACCCAGGCGGACGCACTCAATGTCCGCTTCGCTGCCGTTAGCTCCCGCATCGCTACGGAGGCGACGGCGGTGCGTAGTAATGAGGGTGCACCCCCGGCTGGACCGCGCCCGTACCCTGGCTGTGCCTCCGGGTTCGCCCTGCATCCAGCCACTCTACCGGAGCTTCCTGCAGCCATCAGGAAGATGAGCGCGTCGAGGGCTTTCGGTGCCGACGGCGTACCACTCCATGCAGTGTTTCCCCGTAATCGGTGCACATCTTCTACCTTTCTACCATCTACCTTCTACCATCTTCTACCTGATCAACTTTTCTATCATATCGCGCACCGTTCCGTCCGTCTGGAATATCGCTCCCGTCACCCCGGTGTTCAAGTAGGGTGATCGATCGGACCTGAACAACTTCTGGCCCATTTTTTCTCTCTTTACCGTCGAAAATTACCGAAAGGTTCGTCTGCTCCCAGTTCACTTCTTGCATTCTTGACATCCACATACTGACGCCATCGCAATATGCTTACTGTTTACTTCAATCGTCCACTGATCGGCGCTGTTGGGTGGGTGGCAAGGGCTGTCGACAACGGCCATGTCGCGTCGATAACGACGATTGACCTCAGCAAAGCCTTTGATAGCGCCGATCATGGCGTCCTCCTCAACAAACTGGAATGGTACAGGGTGTCCTCGGAATGGTTCCGGGACTACCTGAGCGGTCGGAAGCAGGTGGTCAGGGGTGGCTCGGTTACCTTATCTCTATCCCACGTGGTGGCCCAGGGATCCCTTGCCGGCCCGATCCTGTTCCTCATCCTCATCAACGATCTATCCAGCTTCCTGCCTCACAGTCGCCTACTATCCTACGCCGATGACACCCAACTCCTTGACTCCGCTACCTCCGATGTCGCCGGCCTGTCCAACCTGAAAGCCCGTGTTGGGGAGTCCCTTCAGTGCCTTCAAAACTGGTTTCAGTCACATTGACTTAAAATAAACCCCCAAAACACAGACCACATGTTGATCGACACAAAACCCTCTATCACAAAGACCGGCAACTTTCACATTACCATCTCCGGCACGAGCATTCATTCATCATCTTCAGTGAAGGTACTGGGTAACTCCTCGACCACAACCTCACCTGGGAACAATCCCACATCTCCTCTCTCGTTCGGCGCTGTAATGCGATCCTTGTATCCCTGTTCAAAATACGACACCACTTCACTCCAGAGGTTTTGAAGCTTCCTGTCGAAATCCACGTCTTTCCCCACATCCTCTACTGCCTGTCCATCTGGGGTGGAGCGGCCCAGGGTCACATAGGCAGGGTGCAAAGGGTGATGCACTTCGCAGCCAGGCTAGTGAGTGGTGTCCGCCGCAGCGATCACATTTCACCATTTTGGATGCGCTCGGCTGGCGTAGCGTCGCGGATTTTGGATGCGCTCGGCTGGCGTAGCGTCGCAAATTTTGTGCACTCCCGGGACTGCCTGAATGTTTACCGGGCACTGCACGTCCCCGAATCTCCCAGTTCACTGCCTACTCTATACGTAACGCGCGCCGAGTCTTCCCAACGCCAAACTCGGGCTGTTTCGGGCGGTCTTGACTGTTTTAAATCGCTGACTCATCGACTGAAACTGTGTGTCTATGCGTATGTGTCACTGCACTGTGTGTGGGATCTTTTTCCTTGTACGATTAGGCGCGGAACAATCACCACGTGAATGCACCTTAATTAGCATAGCTGTAACCCTGACTATTTTTGAAAATTGCTTGGAGGCGTCTGACCTGGCAGTGCTATCTCTCAAAAGGAGCAGCATATAATGTCGAAGCGAGTGTTGAGCTGCGTGAGTTCGGAAATGTGTTTGAATGAGAGAAAACCCCACAAACCGTGGATGGCCTGATACTCAGTCCCTGAGCCTGTTGTTCCTTTTACTTTGCATTATATATATATATATATATATATATATATATATATATATATATATACATAATAATAACATTGCATCATGTATATATATATATATATATATATATATATAATATACATAATAAACTTTGATATAACCATCGACACGCGTTTCCTCATGCTCGCACTGGTGACATGCTTAAGAGTAAACAATACGCTTCTAAGCACATTGAAGTATAGCTTTAAAACTTCTCGCCAACATTGTGTGCAAAAAACCTGCGTCAGCTTCAAGACTGGAAATTTGCTTTTAGGGTTGAAATTGGACCACTAAAAATTGCTTTGCGTGCTGCTTTGTGACCAGCTTCTCCGCATCGAGCATCCATGAACATATCGAACCATGTCAGTTTGCTGTCAATCTGTCACTCACGTGACCAGAAAATGTTTCACCTACGGAGGTCCAAACTTTGAAAAAAGGTCACACCACTAACCACGCGGACTCCCAGAGAGGACCGGAGGACCGAGGAGACCAGCGCCAGGGTCATTGACATGGACACCGCAAGAGGGGAGGGGGGGGGGGAGGGAACAAGCTTTAGCTTTCTCGAAATTTATCCTGCGGCCGACTCACTGCACTTTGCGAATTACATCAAATTAGTCCAACAAATGTTTTGCAGTTGTCACGGGGGAATTTCACGGGGAAAACGAGGGAAATCAATAGGAAATTCGATGCCCACATGCCGATGAAAGCGGTAAGTTCGAAGTGAAGTTGTGCTGCCGCTTAGGCATTACGTCATTATTAAATTCTTGCACCGTGATTTCTGCTGTCGCAAACAACGAATCGAACCAGGGATCAAGTTTCCTACTCAGTTGGGTGTGGGATTGGGCTTCAGCACTCCCCCAACTTGGGCCCTTATGATTTTCAAGGCTTATGATCTATGAGCTTAAATGTTTAACCCGGTGAGAAACCCGTTTGCTGCCTATAATGAGGCATGTGGAGTCATTTTTCACTATTCAGATCCACCCTCGCCTCAATTCGCGAGTGCTTTTCTCTGGATGAAAATGCGAAGTCCTATCGACTGTCACTGAAAAATGTGCGCTGCGACGAACAGACTATGAGATATTGTTGGTATTATTTTGAAAACCCTCGGCGGACGTGGCTGGCGAAATACCTACTACTAGACGTGTTCTTTGAACTCCATTTGATGTAAGAGAACGTGGTGTGTACTCGCCTGGACCCATCCAAAAACCGACCGGCGCCTGCGAGAGTCGGGTCCCTGCCGCCGCCTCAGCAACCGACCCTTGACCCCCGGCGAATCGGGAGACCCGCGGTCAAGTGACGCCCCCCGGCACCCAGTCAGATACAGAGCTCAGAAAACAGCGAGGGCGAGGGCGCGCACCCCGCACAATCGCACCACATTTGAACAGTGGAGTTCATTCGGAATCTGACTCCTGTGTACAAAACTGATTTTGAATCCAATTCCAAACGGAACAAGACAACGTTGAGTCGATTTCGATTCCGACTGTGGGAGATGGCCAGGGGTCGATTTCGGGATTGGCCCATTTCTGAGACCTCCTGACGACCCCGTTTGACCTGGCCTGAATTGATAAGGCTTATATTTCATATACCCAGCTTGGAACGTCAAGTACGGTCAATGTGTAGACCCTGGTTCACATCGGTAACTCGCATTTGGTCAGCATCCTGGACCAACTTAACTCTCGGCCGCACCTAGCCGTCCCAGGCCCTCGGGCCGCACACGCGACCTCGGCCAGGTCACGGGGTCAATGGCCCGGAGGCATGAAAACAGCCGGCCGCGCCGGTTGAATGCTGACCGGGCCGGCGGAATGCCGGCGCGGGAACCCATTGTCAACAGCCCACTGCACTCTTCCCTCTCATAATGAGGCGACGAACACAATCAGAACATTCACGAGAACAAACAAGCGTTACAACACACGATAGCGCACGCACTCGGTCGGACCGCCATAGCCGGAGACAGCCGATAGTATCCCGCTCACACAGCCACCAAAGCCCTCCGCTGGAAGGCTTTGGTGGACGGGCACCGCGCGAGCGCCAGTGCCAGACGGCAGTCGCCGCGCGGACATCAGGGCGAGACGCCTGGCCGCGCGCAGACTACCGACGACAGTCAGCCAGACGGTCAGTTCCCGACACGGCCGCCCATCACGGTCCTACCCAGACACTCAGATGCACCATTATCGTGTAACCAGGCCACTGCAGTTGGAGAATATCATTTGAAATATGCATAAGTGAAAAACAGGGACGCAGCCAGAGCTTTGGCAAGGGTGACAGGCTTGACAAAAGGGGCCCCCTGATAGGAAAAGCCCCTCCCAAAAAAACATCGCCGCAGTGAACCATTTGTTGTTGAGGACA